TGGTTGCCGGTGATCTGAAGATCTATCAAAAAAATAAAACATTATTGGAATGTTCATCAGCCGTAAGAAAACTGCAAATTGTAAAGCTATTAACATTATCGTTATCATCCATAAAATCTTATTCACCGAGTCGATCTTTAGGGAATTCTCATACCGACCATAGATTTAATTGAAAATATCTTTAACCTGTGTGGTTTAGTTTGTTCCAGCACGCCTTTTGTATTAATCCCTTGACGCTAACTTTCTTAAATACGGATAGAGACCAACGCCAAATTCGTGCTGGTTATTGAGAAAGAGGTATTCAATTTACCATGTGATCGCCGAAATGTATAAAATTTATACAGTTTGTTTTCGCGGAATATAATCTCTAGGCCACGTTTCAACATTTGCTTTCAAGTGGAATATTGAAACAATTTGGGCCGTGCATCATAATTACTGTGAGTATCATGGTAAAATCAAACTTTTACTAATTGCATAATTTACTTACTGCTTAAATTGTAGGGCAAGGGGTATCCGGTAAGTGATTTCTCATACCTAATTGAGAGCCCAAACTTTGAAATCTCGTAATTCGACTTCATATCTTATTACCTAAATACGCTTGATATTGAAGGATGTTGCCACACGACAACTAGTTAAAGTACTAGGGGACCATCAGCGAAATAAGGATAATTTGCGTGGAAGCATGGCCAGTTCGAGGTCGGAAAGTTGGATGCCCATACTTGGATTTTTCGACAACGATCCATATGGTGGTTCTTTCTTTTCAATATTTTACTCATTGAGTCCCAGCTCTCATCATTTTCTGATGTTTATCACTCGGACTTTGCTTACTATTGCAGGCATAGAAATTCTGAGCATATACAAATTTGGATCCCAGGTATCATTCCAACCCGTTGCTTGGAATAATCAGCAGTACCAACAATTTATATGATTAAATTTAGGCGATGTCATTCGATAATGAAAATTTGGCAACAACTAATATCAAATGGATTGGATTGCACTGTGTCGATTGGAGAAGG